GGTACTTCGTACTCAAAGTACTTGATGGGTTTGTTCTGCTTAAACGAGTATATTACAGCTCCCTCATTGTATCCGATCAGGAGCTGGCCAATGTCCCGGGGATGTAACTGCATAGAAACAATAGACAGAAGTCTAGATCTTGGACTTCGTTCCCTCCAGAAATTTGGTAATCGTAGAGGGGCTAACTTCTCCCTGTCCAGATCGTATGCGATTATCTCTCCATTCTGCAGTCCAATCAACGCCCAGTCAAGCATGGGATCTGTGACGAGCGTCGTCACAATTCCTGGCGGCGTATATGATGCCAACTTCTTCTGATGTAAGAGGTCCCATATTATGATTTCGTTCTTCGAATCGAGACTTATGAGGCGGTCGGAGCAGAACTGGAGTATCTTGACGGAAGCTCGGCGGGGTAATGTGAAGCTGACTTGCACGCGCCGCTGTCCAAAGATATATATTTGTCCGCTCCCAAAGTTCGACTCGTTCGTGCCTATCGCAAGGAGGGATTGTACGGGATCGTAAGCTAAAGACCTGGGTGGGGAGTGAATTTAGCAGTGAGCTTCCGCGGGGTCCGTTGGGCTTCAAACATACCCAATCTGCGAGTTAATTCCATATCGAGCTTGGTCGTCTGGAGCAAACAGTTCTGGTAGAATACCAGTAGACAAATCTTTCTGTATACCAGCTTGCTTTCCGCGTAGGAAGCCGGCCATTTTGATAAGGTGGGTTGCATGTGCTGGTGGTGTTGTTGACTCGCATGACGTGAAAGGACCCTAGCTCACGGTTCGTCATCCCGCCCTCAGCTCAGCGACGATCATGTGACTGGCAAGACAATTGGAACTTCTGGGCGTTCTGAATGGCTTATTCGTATTCTTTATCTTCAATGTTAGAGTCTTGAATTCATCATTAAATTACAATCTTTCTGGAGCTTCTGTTCAGGTTGCTACACCACCTTGCAGAAGCAACACTAGCTGGCAACAAAGTGGAGCCATTCCATAGGCATACAATTTCAATAGCAAAGTAGATAAGAAGATCAATTTGTGACCAAAGAAGATCATGAAGAAAACGCGTTTCCTTAATATTCATTAACGAAAGTTCCAGCCAAGGTTGTACATGTTCTGTCTATGTTTCCGCCTCCAAACTGTTGACTTCTGAGGACAAATTTATGGCTGCCTGCTTCCGATCTAAACATGCTTGTTAGTACATACCATCACATGTGCTACAGATACTCCATATGGGACTCGAAAGAATTAAAGAATTTTCAAGAGTTTCTCGTCGCCCAGCTTTCTTCTTTTTACCCAGTCAGGAATTAATATCCGATATTGAAGTAGGAGAATGTCTCTCGGCACACTGCGTATGCTGTTCGCCGACTCGAGAATACCACACTTTAGTTCTCAAATCAACAAATATGCAGGTATTTTACTTTGCATACTGTGTCTTAAAGTATCAGGGCTAAGATTCCTCAATATTTTTGGAACTGTCCTCGGTAGCGATTTTTGTATGCAAGTGACCGCCTGGACTCAGTAAGCACTTGAATGAGGAATGATACCACTACACAAACAGTTCATTCTTTGCTTTGCATCATAATAATCTACAGTTGATATGATTACAGCCCTAGTTTCACGTTGGTTGCTGTTGGAATCATCTTACGTTAATAAATCCACGATACAAAATTTTCCGAGAAAAGGTGCTGGAGGTTAGCGATGCACCAAGATACTGTAAACAACAAACGGATCCATGAGGATGTTTTGCTTCAACCCATACCTAGGCAAAAGTATCCAGGATTTATTTAGGCCGGCATCTGCAGATCCTTTGATTTTCATTTGACTTCATTTGTCTTATTTCATCTTCTGATCTTGCAAGAACAAAACTTGCTGCCGGCTATGAAAGCTCGGACAAGCCGATCTCGCAACCGAAGTCCATTTCTTTTATTGAACTTCTTACAAAAATCAACCCTAGAGACGAGAGACACCGAACCGGGACCAGCCAAGGTTACAAGTAGCTTCTGAACTTCTCACAAGTACAATCAATCCCCCAAATATAGCACAAATTAAAAAGTACTGCAACAGTCAAGGCACAGCAAAATCATGATGCTGTTGATCAACTCCGGAGGCCAAGGCTTTCGATGTCTTAAGTTACTACTGATATTAATAGACTAAATAAAGAAAGTTACCGCATCGTTTAAAATCCCTGGAGGCCCAGGAGTTCCCAGAACTTGAAAGAAATGGCGACGGACGACTCTCCAACGCATGTGGTGCATTAGCGGAAGCCCTAGTCTGTCGGCTGCAAAAGTTGCCCAGACTCCAACACCGGTGTGCGTGTTGACTAGGGGTGCTGATGCGGCAGGAGGGATGACCCTCTGCATGATCGGACGAATAAGCCCCGTTAGGATAGACTGGTGGGCAAAATACCGAGTTCCAGGCGTGAGGCCAGCGATATTTGTGCGTGCCAAACTTGATTCGAGCGTCCGTATCGAGTCGAATCCTTGGAGATTGGCCATGAAGGTTGGAACAGGTAAAAGATGATCTGGGGCCGTCGTGTATAAGTGAAGACTAAATAGGGACAAGGCATCCATAAATATAACATCGCGTTCTGCCTTGAAATATATGCGTGGGCCGTTCTCTATGCGCAGAAACTCCGGATTGAGTCTCAAATACTCATGCCGAGCCTCGTGATTTACACCAAGCTGCGCAACTCCACTTACATTGTTAGGGAATACTCGATTGATAAATATCTGAAGAACTTACAGTCCGCCAGCGCCAGGAACACATGTCCAAGTCCAGCGGACATAGGCACGAGTGCCTCCTATCGCACGAACAGCTGCTGAGCCAGGCCAGCGTGACATGGGCGGTACGTATGTTGGGGTTCTACAACGAACAACAACGTCGATTATTCGTGCAGAATCTTTCCCTGCGGCCTCTTTCCAGATAATGATACGTAGCTCGGGTGGTAAAGATCCAAAAAGGCCAAATACCTGGAGTGCCATAATTACGAGGATGAGGGGAGGCGATGTTGTACATAAGAGACATCTGGAAGCAGAGGTTGAGATTTGAGAATTGAATAGAAAAACAAAGCTGAGGTGACAAAGGCCAATGCGAAGCCATTGTACAGCCGGATGCGGCAAAGAACTGGGGTTGGACTCTTTGTTCTTCTGTAGACTTCTGATTTCTTTTAAGGTCTCCTTGTCCTATGTGATACTGTAGCTTGAAAAAGTTAGGACGAGTGGTAATTCAGAGCGAACTGAAAATCGACCAGGCGAAAAATATAGCCACGTAAAATCAAGTAGCATTTTGAGTATATTCGTAGTCAAATAGTTCGAAACTCTCAACTGGAGGGTCATCAAATCTGAAGCGTCAGATAGGGACAATAGATGTTCCAATGCCGATTTGTCTGCCAACACCACAAGACAAAGACCGAATAGATGATCGTACTCCGTATCTAACTTGATACCCTCAAGTTGAATTACCTCCTCTCATCACGACCAGGATGATTCAACTTGAATTGATCTAACAGAATTGCATCCATGCTGCCAGTTGCTCTTTACTATCCTATGCAATGATAGTTTCGCACAGATCGAGCACTTGCAAACCGGCAAAACTCCCTCCTCCCTAGACTGGACTGGTCGCGATCCCTAGAAGACACATAAGAGCCAATGCTCTCCGCAGCTGACTCATCATACCAAATCACCCTGCCATGTTTGTTGAAGGTGTCATTATCGCTGTTGTGAGGGTGTGCTCGTCACAGTACTACCTCCAGCAGCGAGCCCAATATCATCTGTTCCAGTCCCTTGAGCAGTAACCAATCCATCCACATCATCGATACTCCCTATCCTCGTATATGTGAAGGTACTCAAGTAGTCCTCGTGCCGCAGTACAAGGGTATGTGAGCCGTAAAGCATGAAGTCGCCCACTCTGATAGTGCTATAATTGGATGCTAAAGTTGGGAAGTCGACAAGTTATTAATTACGATTGAGGTCGGATATTTGAAGGTTCAAAGGGAGGAGAGCATGGAGCGCTGAGACGGTGGGATTGTCGAGTAGTGAAGCAGTGATGAGCCGATGAGCCGATGGCGACGTGAAGAGACATAGCGTAATTGTTGCTTGTAGACATCTTGGAAGTGAAGATGCGCAAGTACTGGCGGGGAAATTCGAATCAAGATGACCAGAACGATGTTAAATTTGTCGCTTTGAAGGTTGGAGAAGTCGAAGATTGACTTATATGGGACTTCAAGAGATAACCTGTCAGCAAGCTTCAGAGCTCGCAAGACGAGATGACTGGCCGATATCAATTACTTTAACCTTCCATCCCATATTTAGTACCCATATCTCCACCTGTATTTGGTTGGCGATATTTACTTCAAGTATCAGCCTCCATGCTCTTACTAGTAAGCAGTCGTCTGCATTAACACCGATTCTATAGTTTGAATTCAGTCAGAGGAAAGGTCTTTCCCAGAGGTGCTTAGTCAGGGTTTATTTCTAATGACAGGGATAGGATCTAGCCCTTCTCTTATGCTTTATGGACATGTCGATCAAGAATATATTTTTCTTTTGTGACAAAAATGGTTCGGCATCTCTGGAAATGGTAACAAGTCACAGGGCAACTCCTTCATGATCACACTGAAGATTGGCGTATTCTCACGTTGGGACTCATTGGCCCTGAAGCATACCGTAAGCATCAAGACAGGGGTGTTGAGTTTTCCTTTGAGGATCGCTTCTTGAAAATGCAGAAAATGCAATTGGCCGGGTTCAATTATGTTTCCTATTTCTCTGCTTTTTTCTTGGATCTTGGGTTGAGCGACATTCTACGAAACTGTCACATGATGTAACGCGACACTCGTAGGTCGAGTTCATACCGACTATGAAATGTAGTAGGACTCGCATGAAGTCGTAAGGTTCAATATCCAGGGTGATATGGGTAGGAGCTATATTGTGATTGCGAGGCGTCAGATAATAAATTGTTGTATATAATGAAATAACGGTCCTTCTGCCATGTCATTCCAGATATCATGGCACTTTGGCGGAGTGGTTAACGCGATGGCCTGCTATTCGTATGAACAGTAATGATAGCCATTTCCTTCGGGAGCGAGTGTTCGAATCACTCAGGTGTCGGTACTTTTGAGATTTTTTTCATGGTGAGAAGTCAGGAAAATTCCAGTAGCGACTTTTTTCTCCAGTCGTCTTAGCAACAGCTTTCTCTTGCCGATAAGCGAGCGCTATCTCAGCCGTACTAGGAGGGACGGCTAGTAGGTAGCTCCCGGCAGCCGGTCTACGTTATTGTCCGCACACCAAACACGCGAGGCCGTAGAAACTGAACAGACGACCCCTTTTTTAGCGTAAGCCTCCGAGCGTTTTCTGTTAAAAAAAAATTCTTTGAAAAAAGACAGTATTATTTAACGAAAGGTATAGAATAATAGTCCTGTTAATTTTTAAATTAAAAGCATCTTATACTTGCGTTGAAATAAACCTGTGCAAAAGGCGTTTGTTTTGGTGTGCGGATAAAATCGTAGACGGGGAGGGTAGGACGACAGCTGACTTCTTTCTACCTACCTAGACCTTTTGGTCCTGCACCCAAGTTACATCGCACTACTTCTAGCTATCTGCACCAACAGCAACTAGACATATGTAAAGTAAGTAATATACTTCCAAGTTGGTGAGTTTGAAGGTACAAGCTCATGAGGAGATATTAAGCAACGTTGTTGATGCACAAGTCTGATGGGGGCGGTGCAGCCCTGGCCTCTCAGAGGGCTGTCCATAGCACCAACTGCGCAATTTCGTAACCGTAACACCAACTAACTTACTTCCTTGGGAGGGAGTGGATGAAGTCTCCAATCATGCCATACTTTGCGGAGGCTTCCTGCATGCTCATCATGATTTCATCTTGAGAATTGATCAAGCAAACTTCTATGCCGCAATCTTTGTATCAAGTATTCAGTCAGTTGCAGGACATACTTTTCAGAGAGTCAGTCGGGTGACACACTGGTAAGAGTAGCCTCGCCACTTGCTCATTGGAAACTGTAACTTTCCTGATCCTGATCCTAGTACAAACATGATGCTCGCCGTCGTAGCCTGACGTCAGTAAGAAAGTTGTTACCCGAAGAGGAGGCGTCCATCATTTTATAGACTCCCAGTTACCCAGTCCATGTGGATGGAGTCTCTTCGCGAAATCCACTCGCTTATTGCCTGGCCATCAAAACAAAATACCCCTTTCACTCGCGATGCACTTCAATCGGCAGCGAAAGTCACTCACTAAATCTCAAATCTAACTTGCGAGCATTCAGTTTTCAGGAAGGCGATTGCGTAGCAGCATGTGAACAGTAGTCAAGATGTTGACCATCTACGCTGCAAGACCCTCAAAAGTTCCAGTTCCGATCGAATGCCGAATGAGAAATATATACTTTGATTTGCAGCCTCGGCCCCAGCTATAGTGAATGACGATTTGATGGCTCAGAATTCAAGATCCTCGATACCTGGAGCTTTTCAGGAGGCTGCTACCCCACACAGATATCAACATCACAGCCGCATCAACGATTCCATAACACGACCACTGCTTCGGCACCCTCCATGGATTGGCCAACTTCACAACTTTCGTCACAGTCTTAGTTTGTGGATGGCAACGATGAGATACCAGTCCAGGTTTCATCCACAAGCCACTGATTGCATTTCCAGCGCTAAAGTAGCTCGAGAAGAACACACAGCCCTCGAAAGGAATGAAACGTAGAATTCCAAGTACACGTCACACTGCCGAGTACTACAAGCTACATCAAGATCTCCCTGCTGAGGATGTACGGTGAATTACTTGCCAACAAGATAGTCGAAGTATAACTCTACGGCAAAACTAGTAGGGGAGCGATTCCTGAACCGTCTAATTTGCCAACATATTGGCAGAACATATTCATCTATGGTCGGACGACATCCTGCCATCAATGCTAAATGAGTTCGACATCTTGATCAACTATTACATGGACCTAACCAAAGAGTCATGCTTGGTTCTTGGTAAGCCGCCGACTGCCACCAAGAAATTTCAAAAGGCACGAAAACAAGCTGTGGACCAACTGAATTGGCTCACGACGACAGTGAGACTTGATAAGGATGACATACACAAAGTAAATGGTGGATGATGTTAGACTGCCTGATCCGGAGTCGAATGAACCTAGTGAGATGGAGGTCCGGCGGAATTCATGGCTGAATGGCAACCAGCAAAGCGTACAGGATCACATCCAAGGTCGCAGGGGCAATGGAGAGTATCGGAAGAGGAGGAAGTATGATGCTACAACTGATCCCTATAAACAACAAATAAGTTCCCGTAATGTTTTATAGAATTACCCGTGGCTTTTCACGAGCATCGACTTGAGGAGAGGCGTGGAAGACCAAATGAATGGATGTCTGGATATCTAGCGTTCGCGAGGCTCCTGTCAGGAAGGAGATCTATCATGAAGGCTACTGCAAACGTAGCGTGCAGAAGCAGCCAAATTTTTTTTTTTTTGCAAACCTCTCAACTCAGTCCAAAAGATATTTCCCCACTCTCTCCCAATTGGTTGACGCTGAGTGGCCGACTTCAAACATGTGACTTGGGGGCTGAGATGTGGACCTCGCCAGTTTGGTGGTAGGTCCCGTACCCAAAGAAACCAGAGACTGTCACTTGGACATGAGCCCTGGGATGTTAGAGTCGAAAATCTATTGCGATAATGAAAGTATGACGACGCTGGTCTCTTCGCCGGACACATCCATTTCCACATGAAGCTGGTGTAAGTCGCAGAGCCAGAGCCTTGCCACACACAAGCCGACCTTCTGTGACCCAAACAACGCCTCCGAGATCATTTCACGACAAGACACCTTCTCAATCCTATTCTACAGTCTCGAGACTAGGCATGGCCCAGTCGCCAAGTCTATTCAAGTACCAACCCCTTACAGGCTCATCTGCCATCCGCCTCGTCATCCTCGAACCAGGACTAGGCCAGGATCCAGTAAGATGCCGCCTCATCCATGTCTCTCTTGACGACAATCCACAATATGAAGCATTATCATACGCTTGGGGTGATCCATCTGCCACTAAGCCAATATGTCTCGAGGGCAAGACATTGCAGGTCACGGAAAATCTCGAATCGGCTCTCTTGAATCTCCGAGATGAGAGCGTCGACAATCCAAAGGAGAGAGTCCTGTGGATCGATGCTATATGTATTAATCAGTTGCACATTCCGGAGAGGAATGATCAGGTCCAACGAATGAGAGACATCTACGGGAATGCTACGTTGGTTCTCATCTGGATAGGTCGCTATCATGAAGAAGTGGACGCATTGGCTCTGCGCGATGTGGAAACGTGGGGTATCCATGCTTTGGTAGAAGGCTCAAGAGAACAGACCATGAAAATCTTTGAGTTCATGGCAAATGTCTTCAAACTGTCATCCGAAGACGAAAACGAGATGCAAGTACTGATAGCATCTGCAACAAAACAAGACTGGGCGCACCTCGAGCGATTACTCAGAAGACCGTGGTTCGAACGACTATGGGTTGTTCAGGAGGTGTACTTGGCCCGAAAGACCCTGCTCATATGTGGTCGTGTGGAGTGTGAATGGAATGAATTCTCTCACGCATGCCAATTTATCGGTCTATCAAAATTGGCTTCGTTCACAGCTTCATCCTCTGTCGTCAACTCGGTAGTTTTGGCTTTGGTTTCTTTCGATATGCATACATCTATGCTAAGCTTTCTCAAGTGCCGAAACAGGCAATGATTGTATTGCTTCGCAACCTTACGCACTTTGCCTGCACGGATCCGCGTGATCGTCTATACGCCCTACTGGGTATCTGTTGCGATGGAGAGGACCTTAATGTTGACTATAGCAAGTCTGTTCAAGAGGTGTACGCTGATTGGGCATGGTCTCATATCAAAGAAACATCCAGGTTGGAGGTATTCAGCCTCGGAAACATTACTATTTCCTTGGCAGCTGGACTACCCTCCTGGGTGCCAAGCATCCAGCCTGGCAGGGGCGCAGTTTTCGACGTAGATATGCTTTTGTTCTATTCAACATTGGCTATGGAAATCTCAGAGGAGGCTGAAGAACCATACCGTTATTCTGCCTCTAGATTTAGTCTCAGCGATGGGTCAGTGTCTACGGACAGCCTTCGCTTAATACTGTCAGGCACAGCCGTCGGGAGAATAACTGGTATCTTCGATATCCAAGAAGTGGACGAACCAGATACAGAAGACAATATAGTACCCGCATATTCCACACCTTCACTCGAATACCTGGCGGGATTAAGGATCTCCACGATTAGGGACTTAGAGATGAAGGTGGCACAGCACTTTGCACTTTCAGAGCTCATTTATGCTTCTCCACTTTGGTGTGAGTTTACAGAAGCACTTTTTCGAGGACTCGAAAATACTTCATTGCAGATGTTCCACGGCCAGACTGATGATATACCTTGTCGATATGCGGTTCTACGTGGGTATGAACCCATACCATGTCATTTCAAGAAAGGTCTTGACCTAGAAGCGCGAAAAAGTGATTATTTGGTCACCATGAAATTGGTGGTACATATGATCGCACATCGCATACGGATCTTCGTGACAGCTAAAGGCAGACTGGGCTTGGCTACGTTGAGCTCAAATGTACAAGTAGGCGACGAAGTCTATGTTCTTCTTGGGGAAACACGCCGTACGTTCTGAGAAGAGATGAAGAAAGTCATCGCCTGATAACACCGTGTTATCTGTATGGTTTTATGGACGGAGAAGCAATGGATGGGTTAGACGCCGGGAAGTACAAGTTGGAGAAAGTCACTCTTGTGTGAGCTCGGATTGAAGATGTTGCTCCAGACAGGGCTACAGCTCAAAATGAAATATTTACTTTCACGAACAGATCATTCCGCGCTGCTGTGTCACTTGGGAAACTCGAATATTGAAAATTTCAAGTGTCCTATCTGAGATTCAATATTGCAGTCGCTTTCACAAGTTCCAAACACATGTCTAACACGATCTGTATTATGCTCTAGCGTTTATTCACATACAACATTCATCATATCTAGGTCATATTTTCCTTCCTCTTCTCGTTCTAATCCTTGGCTGCAGGCACACTTGTGCTGCACCTGACGAGTGGGCTTGGTGGTGGCTGTGC